TAAATCGGTTCGTTCTCAAGTTTTGGTGAGACTAACAAACAGCAATTCGTTAAAAAATAGGAATTGATAGTAGAAGTGTGTAAATTATAGGTTATATATATTTTTCAAAACGTAAAAAAAATTGTTTTGGATCACTTTCAAGTATTAAAAATAGTTCACGTCCTTTTCTTAAACCTACTGAATAAACACTCAAAGAAGTAATTTCGTAAGAATCAGTCAAGCCATTTCGGAGAAGTTTTCTTACAAACAACGTGTCACGAAAATTTTATTAGAATAATGAATTTACATGTTTTACGTGTCATAGTAAATCCAATCTCTATGCTATCTCCTTTCTATTAGATATAATATCCACACGTGTGATATATATCTACAAATGTATTTACATAAAACGAGCGAAGGATTTACGTAGTTAAAATAAATATATAAAATGGAATCTGATTAAACTTAAACTGAAACTAAACGAAACTTGTTCTCAAGGGTTGTCTCGATGACAATAACTGTCAGTTCCACTGACGGTAACTATTACGGCCTCATGATATGTTAATTTTTATAACTCATGAATCACGAGAACACGCAACGAATAAACTTTGGTTCGCTACCAATTTAGAAAGGTAATAAAAAATAATTTACAAATAAATGGCCTCAACTCGTTCGAAATTTAAAAAATATATAATCAAAGAAACATGTAGGTAAATATTGTTGGATATTAAAAATATAATAATTGTAATTCAATAAAAAAAATGTACCAGGACAATTCACATACAGCTATATAGTCCCTAATTAAACAATTTACTTATTTCTTCTTTTTCAGTTCTTAGGGGTTACACCTACCCCTAAGAACTGATAGAAATACTAAAAAATACGAAAATAGATTTTTAATACTCCACAGAAAATATGTTTGTAATTTCGTATTAACAGCTTTTTACTAAATGCATATTAAAGTACAAAAGATATTTCCACCACGAAATTAAGGAAAATCTATATAAATAAATAAAATTTAAGTGTTATTTGTATTTTTTACGAAATGCATATGAAAGTACAATAACACTTAATACATGACTTATTTAATTAAAAAAAAATGTCTGTCCGTCTCTTTCTTGTTGCTAATCTCTGAAACTGCTGCACCTATTTTGACGAGACTTTCACTCACAGATAACTAATGTTATAAGGGACTTAGACTACTTTTATTTTAGATATTTTACTCATATTAATAAAAATTATCCATGCGATCGAAATCACGAGTAACAGCTAGTATTAAATAGAGGTGACGCAGTAACAACAGATTCCTTATGGTCAATATAATTTTGATTTTCCATAAGGTGGCAACCTTGATATGGTGATTCAGTTTATTTGCAATGGAACGTGTTTAACCAGCGATGTATATAGTCTATCGTAAGTCTACAGATAAATAAAAAAAAGTAAATATTACAGTCGTAATTATTGTAATAAAAATAAGATAACCCATGTAATTAAATGCAGATAGTGGCAATAAAACATTACGGGCTAACAAAATATTTAACACAGTTCCTATTTACACTTCTTACATTGATGTAATAAAGAATTATTTGATGTTTATTTAAAGGTGCTTACATACATTATATATACATATGTTAATTGAGGTATAGAAATGATAATTAATGTCATTTAATTATGTCCATCTAATGCTAATTTAATCATTTTCAATTTCCTGTTACTCTATTGTATATTTAATTGTTACCATGTGATAAAAAAAGATTTATATACGTCGAATCTCTTATACGTATAGGATGTGGAGATAGGACAAAAAAAAAGTAAAACTATTTAGCTAGCTATGCCTTTACCTTAACCAAATAAAGAAATAATATTTAATAGTCCAATAAAAATAATAATAGTGTAATATTTAATAGTAACCGAAAAAAGTTAAAGAAATAGGTTTCATCGTTCTAGCTTCAAAATGACCTCAAATCATCCCCTATCTATTTAAAAAATAAAACGGCCAAATTTAAAAAAACTTCGAATGTCATATTTATTTATATTTAATCAACAGTCTACAAAATAAGTTTCAAGTTTCTAGATTTAAAAATGACCATGCCTTTATATAACTTTTCATCGCCCCTTTTCACTCCTTACAACCCTTTTTTCGCATTAAATGGTAGCCTATGTCAGAGTCTAGATTTTCATTAAAACTATAACGGATATTGCAAACACACAGATTACAATAGTATAACATAATATTACGATGCTGCAAACTATGAAATTACTATTTTTTTATTGGGGGTTTGGGCTATTGTCAGGTGCTTCGACCTGTAGCAATGCGACCTACATAGATCTATTGTGCTCGCCCTTTTTCAGAGTTCGCTACCTAGACCAGTCAGGGACAAGAATTTTAATGAATAAAAAATGAAATGAAACTACTAACAATATGAAGTTTATAAAAAAATAGAACATATAAAAAGAAGTATTCTAAATATATAAATAAGAACATTAAAAGAGTTCGCTACGTTCGGTCGCGCCAACAAAAAGTAATTTTGTACGGGAATTTAGCAGTTTTTCAACGTAGGTAGTTCTTAACCCACTTTAAAACGTGGTTGACTATGTGACTAAAAAAAACTTAAATTAATACCGAGTCACGGTATTAAAGTCATACAGTTTTATTTTTTTTTTATAATTAAAACAGAACACTGTATTTATATATGGTTACACGACATTTCTCCAAACTTCTAAAGCGCTTTTAATTATTCTTAATCAAAAATGTGTATAATTCCCGAAATACTAGTCAAGATTAGGGCCGTTTTATTCTTATGAAATATTTTTTTTCTATATTGTCTCATGTAGACAAGTCTGCGATTACGTATAAGTTTAATTTTAGAACGAGTAGACTCAGTAAAATTTTATTCACTACATAGCTACTTATACACTAATTTAATCACTAAATTTAGTATGCTAATTATCTTGATAACACTAAATCTGTTATGTTAAGCATTTAGCACAATAATATAGCATTTACTACCATTACTACCGCTCTCTAAATGTAGTAACTACTTTGTAAACTGTAGTGTTTGCCAGGTGTAGCAATACTTTATTGTCTCTTGTCGTAGTAATATTATCATGTTTTTTATTATGACATTTATGACGTCACATGTGTTTTTACAGATTACAACACCGTGACAAGCAAATCCGTAATAAATACTAAGTATTGGATATGTAGGCAAGAGAACTATCTTTCTTCATACTGAATCTCTTACGCGATATTGTAGGTTTTAATGAGGTAAGTTTCTTTTATTACATTACATTATTTTACTAGCTACATCCCGCTTGCGTAGTATACAAAGTTGATAAGATGTCTATCTAGAAATATGTAAATGGCTATCTATCTATACATATTTTTTTAAATTTTCCTTTACAGATTTTTTTACATACATTTTTTTTTTCATTTTTCACGCAAACATAAAAATAAAATAATTTAAAACTTTAAATTGTATAATATTGATATAGATAAATACTTCATATAAAATCACGGATTTCTGTAACCCAGACGGTATGCATAAAACCGCCTAGCAACGCGAGGGCAAATTTAGGAAAAACCGAGGGGTTAGTAACCCTACGTGAACGGTATGACGCGACGTAAGTATAATTTATGCAGTAGACTGGAGATAATCGAAATATGGGAATTCCTTCGCAAAAACAATTAAAAACAAGAACCATTACATCAAGTCATGTAAACTATATCCCGAAATAAACTCTAATGTCTAATTATAATTTACTAGCTGTAATACATATAAACCTTCCTCTCGCATCACTCTATCTATTGCTAAAAACTCCATCGAAATTGAAAGCTGCGTAGTTTAAAAGATCTAAGCGAACAAACAGCGAAAACGACTCCATTTTACCAGCTAACGTACGAAAACGTACAGACAAAAATATTATAATGATTTAAATTTATTTCGAAAATAAAATACAGCCCATAATGTAATTTTGTATAGGTGAAAATTTATTAATTTATTAACTTAATTTTATTAAAAACAAAACAATGAAAACTTTCCTCTTTATCATAATAGTTCTCATTCAGCGATATGATTATCATCTATACATATAAAAAAATGGAGTGTCTGTTTGTAATATTGAAATAACCGTTCTTTTACTACAAGTATGTAATATTATGTTATCTGTGCTACAAGTATATGAATATAAATACGGTACATACACTAAAATATCATTTTTTACAATTTTTGTCTGTTTGTCTATTTTTTCCGGCTAATCTCTGAAACAGCTGGACCGATTTTGACTTTTCTTGGTAAGTAGCTGATGTAATAAGAAGTAACTTAGGCTACTTTTATGTTAAATTCCACGCGGACGAAGTCGCGGGTACAGCTTATATATAACAATCGCATTTATAAAAAAATAATAGAATAGAATAAATCTTTTTTGCTAACTGCGTGGTTACATAAAAATGTACGTATATTTCTGTTAAAAATAAATTAATTCCTCAAACATTTGCTTATATTTTTATTATGGGTTTATGTGAAAAATCGTAAAAAACAGTGAAAAAGTTCAGTTCAGTTTCTGTATAATACTACTATAGAGAGAAGAGTTAACCTCATTTTCTTACTTTATACCCACTTGAATAACCTCGGTGACTCCTGTCTCCTCAATCAGATAACAAAAGATCAATCCAATCACGGGACCTCAGGTTGGCGCCATATTTAACAAGCTTTTTGTAATATTTATGTTATGGTATAACAATTTGTTTTCCTTAGTCTAAAAGGAAAAATATTCTCACGCAGTTCAAACCTCGAGAATCTCATTACATAATATCATAGACTAGCTGACCCGCGCAACATCGTCTGCGTTTTATTTTGCAATATTTTTCATTGCAGCTCTGCTGTTATTTGTCATAGCTTTATGTTACGAGTATATATAGCGTAAAGCCTTCCTCGACTAATGGAACGAGAACACTATCCAACACAAAACTATTTTTTCAATTCGAACTAGTAGTTCCTGAGATTAGCGCGTTCAAACAAACAAACTCATCACTTTTACATGTTATTCTACGGTAGAATCCATCCTTGTCAAGGGAAGTGCTAATCGTCTCTCCATTTTATCTACCGTAGAAATATAGGTACACATCTACATCTGTATGTCTAAGTATAACAAATCTGTCTATTGATTTTTTGTCTCCGCATTTTGCTCTGTCTGTATAGTAGTATTCAAAATTCAAAAATCATTTATTCATGTAGGACATTTTAGCCGCTTATGAACGTCAAGTTTTTACATTATAATTTTTTCCCCTATCGTCCAGTTCGGTATATAGATCCAATTGAGAAGAACCGGCAAGAAACTCAATTGTTTTACTTTTTTTTTAAAAGCCAGTTTATTTACAATGTATAGGTATTTATATAGGTGTCTATGTCTAACATTAAATGAAAGTGAACCCGTACATGAACAACTATTGCCATGCACGCTCGTCATTCAAGTAATAGTTTAGTGAGTGATAGGTTTTGCTCAGTAAATATGATTTAACAGATGTTTTGAATTTATTTAAGGGCAATTCCAATATATCCTTTGGTATCTTATTGTAAATTATACCTATTCCCATAAAAGACCTATTGACTTTTTCTAAACGATACTTGGGGACAGCAAGTAAGTATTATATTATACCATTACACTGTTTTAGACTTGTACAATCAAATTAACTTCTATGTAGTGAGTTCAGTGTGGAATCACCTTATTAATGTGTACATAGATGATAATGATTGTCAAATACAACAGAATCTCGACTTACAATACATATTTAATCTGCATATGAGTACATATTAGCTTCCATCTCACAATTTACATATGTACAAGAGTACAAGACAGATTATCTTCAAAACCACTTATGTTGACATTGTTATGTGACAATGTTAATCAGAAACTCTAACAAATACGTGACAACTTTACTATTGTGTTAATTAGTTCTGGACTGAAACTAAGTATTGGATTTTTATGTTAATGGCAAACCAGCTGATGGTTCACCTGATGATAAGTGGCAGTCGTAGCACCGGACATTACGTCATCATGTGCCGGTTGCCATTCTATAGGATTAAGGTATTATGTCTCGGTACCCCGTAATTTAACTGCCATATATACTATTACTCGCAGTCCCGGCAAACGTTGTTTTGCCATATAAATTAATAACGCTATAAAAAAAATAGGGGTTGATGATAGAAGGGTGAAAATTTTGGATTGTATGTATTTTGTATGTTGTATCATAAAAAATTAGAAACTAAAAATTTTGTCTAAAAAATAAAATAAAAATTTAGGGTTGGACTACCCCTAACATTTAGGGGGATGAAAAATAGATGTTGGCCGATTCTCAGACCTACTCAATACGCTCACAAAATTTCATGAGAATCGGTCAAGCCGTTTTGGAGGAGTATGGGAACGAAAACTGTGTTACGAGAATTTTATATATACGATTAAAACATAAATACAACTATATTAAGAATAGTTTTACTTATTTCTTACTAATATTTATAAGCGCGGGAGTCTGTGACTGTAGATGGATGGATGTTTGTTAGTCTTTCACGCAAACAGTACTGAATGGATATAATAGAAACTTTACCATACTATTAATATAGTTTATACATCAGAATAACATTTTACGCAGGTGAAACCGCAGTCACAGGTTGTATAATATATATGCCACATGTAATATACTCATATATATGACATATATGCCACCCTTCTACCGAAACACTGCTTACAAAGCAAGCTGCCTAGCCTGGCGGCTGAAATAGGTGAAACTGAGGTATTATCATTATTATGAATTGATAATAAATAACCGAAATTAATATAAACACATAATATAATTACTGTTCATGAACGTGATATGAGTTACTCAAATAATTTCGCCCAAATTTGTACTGAAAATTAATTCAGGTAAACCTAAAGTCCAGGATTTATACCGAATTTATTGATTGTTTGTAACACTTTATTGTAAATTTAAAATAACAGGATACAACTATCTTAAGAAATAAGTTGTACAATGGTGGACTTGATCCCAAATGAGACATTTCTTCCAGTCAGTTTCTTTTAATTAGCAGAATAAAATTCTGAATTTTGTGTTTGCATTGTATTTTGTTACTTACAATTTTCCACACATAGCTTACAACCTTTTTGTACTTTTGTAATGCTGTACATCACACATAATGACACAAACTTGTTAACATTATGTCGAACTATGTATTGTCCACATTCCTATAAGTGTAATTGTGTGTGATTTGTAATAATTCAAACAAACGACTTATCATTGCTAATATTGCATTAGGGTTTAACAAAAATGGAGTTACTGCTTACTTCTGGCAGCTTGTCCACTATTAATAATAAATAAATAACCCTGGACAATGTAGACAGTACCACCTAGACCCACGGTAAGTAGAGCTTGTGTTATGGATACTAGACAAGTGAAATAAATACATAGATATATTATTTTTTTGTAACTACATATATAATATATACAAAAAACGTAATGTAGGTAACCGGGTTTACAGCAAATAAAATATCTCAATGCCATTCATAATTTGGTCACAAAAGAACCGGTTTCATCACAGCACAAACCCCCCATTTAAGCACCTTTCTAGTTTAAAAGATGGTTAAAGAGACGCATTATAATCGAATTATTTATTTGGGAGATTCTATGCATATATACAAGACCAAAATGTTTATTTAAGACTAAAACATTTGTAAAATAATAAGGTGTATAACACCCAAAAATAAAATAAATTTAATAAAATTAAAATAAAGTAATAAGAGCGCCTTTTGTACTAGTTATTGTATATTATTATATATATATTTATATAAATTTATATTTTTCTGTATCTGGTGCAATAAAGTGTATCCTAATCTTAATATTATAAATGCAAAAGTTTGTAAGTATTGATGTTTGTTACTCTTTCACGCAAAAACTACTGAATGGATTTTATTGAAACTTTACAGTATTATAGCTTATGCATCAGAATATACATAACACGTAGCCAATATGTTTATTGAAATTTAACACAGGTAAACCGCGGGCACAGCTAGTAATACAATAAAGAAAATGCTAACAACAAGTGGAAATACAATGAAATCTTTATATTAGTATTCCAATATTGTCTTTTCATATTTTTCCTTATAAGCAATAAGTATAAGGAAAATATAAAACTACTCCAAAATAATATATTGAGTTATAGACAAATTAAATTATTTTATAGATGTTAATGATGATGAATGATACAGGTTGTACAGTAATGTTGGTTTTTTAAAGTTATGCATTCACACTCTTAGTAGAGGGTGGGGATAATTAATTATAGGAAGTAGAAGATTGTAACATTTTGCTATCAACAACAGCCACGCCTGACCCCCTTAGGGATCTTTTTTCTGTGCAGTGGTCAAGACTGCTCTTACTTTTGTCTACTTTCAAAAAAGAAAGTACATTTTTTTTAATTAATTTAAATATGTCTATGCCTAAGACATGAGAATCAAAGATGCTATCTGTATAATATCACCATCTTCTTCCTTCTCCCATTTATTAGGGCGGCGTAATATTTTCTCTTCCATTCATCCCTGTCTGCAGTCATCTCATTATTTACTCACTTTCTTGCCATATAATTTTTCACACAGTCTGTCCATCTCTTTATCTGCCTTCCACTGTCTTTATAATAAATTCTAATCCTTTAATTGTGAAATACAGTTACAAAGGTCTTAAAATGGATAGTAAGTAATAACCATCCATCTATATGTAATACTATCTTTAAAATATCTACATAACATCCATACTACGAATATATTCCAGAAAATCTCCGCCATTACTGTAAGCGCAGACGGGAGCACCATTCCATTATTATCCGTTAATTAAAAATACTGGCCATATTATACAGTATCGTATTTGCTTTCTAAAAAAAATATATAAATAAAAAAGAAACCATTCCCTTGGTTTAGAAATGGAGTACTACCTCTTTATTATAGACGGCGTCTGTTGACGTTATGTAATGTTACCACTTCGCCATTTTGTCGCCTCATAGATCACTAGTTTTTACTGATTGAATGTTTTACTTAATGAAATCCCATATTACCACCAAGTTTGTAATTATATTTATACCACAAATGTGACAAGCATACATCAAGTAAACATATATATTATATATATCACTTATTAAAGCCTAAAACTTAGGTTTTTTTAAAAAAAACTTTGTAGTGTCTTGTTTAATAGTCTATGATTTTATAAATAAAATCTCACTACGATGTTCTTATTAGATTTACCGAGTATATATCATAGTCTCTGATTAATCTACTCATTAATTAAATTTATTTATAAATGTTTCATCACAAGAGAGTCGTTCCGAATTAGAAATTTAAAAGAATTATTGAATCCTGGGAAACAGACAAACAACTAGCAACGACATTTCTAATTATTTGAAGCCCTTCTGTAATTAGTGCGTATAGAATAGTTAGTAAGTGGACGCTAAGACCCTACTACTATCAATTTGCCGCCCTGCTGATTGCTCCATGTTGTTCTAACTGACCTGGCTTTATTCCTTATCTAGTCAATTATCCTGTACTGGTGCCCCGCCAGCTTATAGCGATAACGCAAACGGATGCACCATTCTATTCTAATCCATTATAAATCTAACGTCTTTTTATTAGGATAAATGTCACTAGTTAGAGATATTTTGTTTTAAACCTATTAAAGTCATCACATTAAAAAAAAAGAGAAAGCATGTCAACGGTATCTTTCTTTTTTAATTAAAGTAAATGTTACCCACAGTAATACAGTTACGATACTCCTTCAATATCAGTAGGCACATTGGCAACGACATATGTGTACCTAGCATTGTAGCAATATAAAACAAACGATCAACGTCATGTCGCGTCACGATTATTGGATAACACCGGCCGGTAGTCAACCGGCATATTACCAGGCGAGGAGACGTCTGCGTCTACCCACCTACAGCGGCGGGCCCCAATACCCGGCGCGCATGCGCTCTTGCGCTGATTAAAAATCCATTCCCATTCATAAGCCGATTTCAAGGAGGATCCTTAGACAGCTTCGAACTCCCATATAGCTATGAGAGCCTAGTACCCTTTACTCCATCTCGATAAAAAACAGCTTATCAAAAAAACGTAATCAAGAAACTGTTCCTTACGGTCAAACGTCGCCATGTGTTTCAAATTATAAATTCTTAACGGTTAGTCGCGTGACTCAATGAGAAAGATTGCAAGTAAAAACTACCTACGTAGCAAGCGATCCCATCAATCACTCGCACCTTCTAATTCAAGGATGATCCTATTTCGGAACCGAGCATTAGTTACCGGCGGATAAACAGTGGCGATGCTTCTCAAATTTTGGTTACGTAATGTCATCGACTTACCACATCATTATTCTCCACGATCCAATTCACGGAACATATCTGGTAGACGAAATAGGCTCGCACCAGTTCGCTGGTCTTCTTACTTTTGAACGCATCTTTCGGACTGTTAAAGTTAAGGTCGAGGTCGTCGCGTGCGGGCTGCGCGGAGGATAGGACTCGGACGTTCCTAGGCGCGTTCACGGCCAGTCGTCTCAGCAGAGCCATTGTCGGAGCTCCGCGCACTTTGCACAAACACAATACACGCCCGTCGTCGCTGGCCGACAACTGACAACTGGTTTGGCAATGACGTGCGCTCAATACTCGGCCGAGTGCGCGCGCAGCCGTTCCATTTTTTTCAAGTCCCACGGAGGTGTGTCGCAGATGCACGCCACTATTGGCCGCTAAGCGGCTAAATATACGTGTGCAATTTACAAACAGAGCAATAACCTCCCGGGAAAATACCCTAAGACCACCATCAGAATAAACTGAAGGCATCACTTCAGCAGCTATCACTATTACGTCTTAGTTCTGCTTGATATGAACTTTTCGCAAAATATGCGGCACCACGTGCTATCCCAGATCCTAACCTAAATAATAAAGGGGTCGATTACGTAATAGACTTGTTTGCGAAGAGTTATATAAAAGCTCCGCTGGGTTCAAGCACCTAGGTTGACCCATTATTGTACTTATGCGGTGAACTTACGTTATAATATCGATTGCAAATAAAAACTATAAAGACCTGCCAAGTACAGCGTTTACCTCTTGCCCAGAGACTATATCTTCTATAATGTGATTAGTACTTAATCTAATGGAACATGGTAAGCACGTAAAACTGTTAAATCTGCCAATCAACGCCCGCGGTGAAAATACGATCAGGCTCATAAAGTTCTTATTCACCGAAGAGTCATTAAATAGAAAAGTAATTACTCACAAAGTGTAATTACCCGATAATGTACCAATATACATGCTAGGTACGTTACAGGGTAGGAAAACCCACGCTGTTGAATCGGTTTTCATTGTTACTACCGTATCACCGGTTCCAGAGACCCACACTAAACTATTATAACATTCAAAGGACCTTCGGATCATCATGGATCTATCAAGTTTAGTCTGCTTACGAGTTACATGCTTCCACTTTTAAATTTAAATATTCGTTTCGACAATCTTTAATTATCTTTCATAGAACATTTCAATTTCATAAATCAATGTTTTATACATTATAAAAATATCAGTTAATTTAAATTAAAACAATGATATAAAAAAAATATAAAATATTTATTTATCTCGTGACATCATCCTTATAACCATAATTATTCGGGATCAAATGTAGCCTCCAAATACGTAGATATAAAAATTTATGACTACAGTGGGCTCAACGACTTAACTAAGCCGTTAATCATAAAACTGTAAGAAACAAACTCAATGTCATTAATAACCAAAGACAATATATACAGCGCCATCTAGTACCAAGCTAAGCAGAGCTTGTGTTATGGATACTACATAACTGATAGATATACCTACTTAAATTCAATTTTTTTTAATGCATACATAATATAGGTACGTAGAAAACCTCCAGACCAATACAAACAATCATACTGAGGAATACAAATATTTGTACCGTGCGAGAAATCGAATTCAGGACCATCGGAGGTAAGGCGGCATAAATTTGGTATTATATAAATACAGTGATATTACTTCTCTTTTACAACGTACTTGGGGAAAACGCAGTCATTAGAATCCGTTCAGTTTTGACGTTTTGACAAAAATATCGTGCAACATACAAACCGAGTATCGTCCATAACCGAACTTGAGCTTTCTGCATGTCTGCTTATTCACTTTTCATCGTTTTTTTATAGAGGACCTACTTAACAAATGGGCTATTGTGTTAGCACTACGAAATCGACGATACATCGCTTCCAAACAGACAGTTTTAACTATCCAGTCACGTTTATTTTAAAATATGTTTGTATTATATGTTAGTATTGCAGTCCGAAGAAGTATTGAGTGTTGGCTGAAATGGAAGCGAATTTGAGATGACCTTGAAGCCTGACTCTCCTTACGGCAGAATTCGAAGGAGAATTTCAATTTATAACAATTTTATTATTTAAAAGTTTGTGAGTATGGATGTTTATTACTCTTTCACGCAAAAACTATTGAACGGATTTTTATGAAACTTTACAGTAATATAGTTTAGTTTATACATCAGAATAAAATCTAGGCTATATAAACATGCGGACGAATCACACAACTAGTATGTTTATATTTTGACGATCTGTTTTATCATAGCGATTGTTTAAGTAAAACTATTATTTATACTATGTTCTGCCCCTGAAAGCTGATCTGAATACATTTTATAAACCTTACAAGTTACCTTACCAAGGAACGTGTCTTTTTACCACATAATATAGGTCTCCGTTACACGGGGTAAGCAGGGAGACCTCAGTAATATTGGTAATTACAAATTGGTAAGATTGATTACAATAAGATTTATAAGGACAGATTAAACATGATTCTTGTCTTATTCACATTCTTAACTCGTCCTATACAAGCTCGCCGCCGACTTGACTCTGGCAGCTTGTCCACCGTTAATTTTATAAATATTTGATATTTTGATACCTCTTTTGTCCTCTTTGATTTCTTTGTGAGCACTCTTGGGAAGTATAGGTAGGTACATACAAATATAATTATTCCTGATTTTATTAAATAGTTGTATAGTGACCACGCTTCAGTCACATTGGTGGCCAACACACAACACAAGATCAATCTGATCATGATAGGATAGTCTGATCTAGTTTCTATGTTGATTATCGCATGTCTGTTACTTGTTATTGTGTAATTAATTATTGAAAATAACATCTATTTAAAAGAGCAACACACAAGTTTCTTGCTCATGTGATGAATCTGCATTCTAAATGCGGGATAGAATAAAAAAACATGACTATTCAAAACTGCTTGTATTGAGTTTATTTGAATAAAGATTATTTCTAGTTCTGAATCTCCACCGGTACCTGTACCTATATCCATTTTTTTAAAATAATACTTTAATGACGATCTGAAGGCGAAGTCGTTTGCGTCTGACTATCACTTCTGTTGCCATGCAGCTGGATTTATTCCGGTTTGAAGACGAGATAATGACAGTAAAATTACAGGGCGTATTGGCATATCTTACTCCTCAGAAATGCCTACCCGTAGGTATCATGGGTGTTAGAACATATTTTGTAATGCCTATGTTTCAATACATTATTTTTGCTAGGATCTTACCTCACCTATGAACCAACGTTTTTAGTAATTTTTTACCATGTCACATTTGGTACAATTTTAATAGTATCAATTTTTTACACGTATCTTTGGACCCTTTCAATCTTTTGTTGGTGCACTTTGTGCCACCTTTCTTCCTTCATGTCTTACGTAATCTATGGATGACTGTCTCATATCAAGAAATAAAAGAGGGATGAGGATTATAAGTAATAGACTGGAGTCCCCATTGCTGGCAATCTACCCTGTTAGGTATACCTCCTCGCGATTCCCCTGGAAACCATCGTAGTTCATTCCTGGTGAATGAGCCTTGATAGGCTAACTGACCTGACCTCATGCTCATCTTATCATCCTACACTGGTACCCCGTCAGCGTAAACCTTCCTTAAGGGTATAAATTCCTTCCTTTCCTACTATTCATTGTAAAAAAACTCATATAGGAAGGAATAAATTTCCACTTTCATCACATGTTTATATGCAGTGTCGTATATAGTAGGTATATAATAAGTAATTAGGTACTTACCATTATTTCATGATAAAACATGAACACGGTAAACATACTGAAAATTACGCCATGAACTAACTCTGAAACAAACATATGATTAACACCACACAGAGCGTGCACACTAGCGACTTATTGATCGCCTGTCGGACGCATTGTAGCGTTTATGATTCTTTTGATAAATTTGAAACAACTTGGTGTGCATCGATGTTATTTAGCTAATGCATTGAAAAATTGCCACAATTGTAACTCGTTCTATCTTGATTCAACATTATTCGTTACCTACTAACCTTACTTGGGACAACAAAATTGACGATATACCTACTCATATAAGTAGGATGTCTGTATGCTTGAAGATTTGTTAAAATATCTTTATTTATATTAGAAGTATTATTATATCCAAAATAATTGTAGAAAGACTATAATAATAATAATATATAGTCATAGACAATTAACACAGCGCCATGTAGTCCCACGGTAAACGGAGCAGAGCAGAGCTTGTGTACTAGATACTTGATATAAATACTTTTTTTTGTAAATACATACAAAATTACCAAACCGACACAAACAATCCCACTCATGATTACAAATGCTTGCGCTTTTGACTTCATAGATCTAGTACAATACTGGATTAACTCAAAAATTACAAATCATTGAAATAAATTAGTGGATACTGCTTAAAACAGCAATTATATTTGATTGGTAAAGTTCAACTAAAATAGTTGTCGAGCAACTAAAAATTGCCGATCACCGACAGTCGCGCGTGTACTCGGCCACTTAGTAATAATGTGAGACTATGGGTCACATAAACGTAGTCTGTCGTACTGACGTACTTATGGTCACATGAGACACTCATACAGGAGTGTCATGTTAGTGTCAGATACAACTATAACCACGTTGTTTAACCTCGATATCGTGTACCACGCGTGACATTTACTTTCTCCCACCCACGTGTAAGTAGTCTGCTGTCTATTTAATGTTTTTTTTTTTATTAATAGGGTTTCTTATTTATCATTCACTAACTTATTACTTAACTTGTTGTCATGAGTCTGCGTTCCGAAGGAGAGGTAGAAAAATGTAACTATTCAAAAGTGCTTAAGTTAATTTTATTTGAAAAAAGATTGTCTTTTTCTAAAAAATAAGGTTGCAATAATTGTAGCTTTTTTAGCTCACTTCAAATACTTACCTTTTAAAGAGTATATTTCTGTGACCGTTTATATTGGATTATATTTTTATCATCCTCGATGGTATAGTTCTTTAAGTGGCCGCCAGGCGTATAGTTGGACTCAAATTTGAACTCAGTAATAATACTATATTCTATACTTTTTTTAGAAAAAATCTAGTAATGAGGATAAAAATATTATATAATCCGGCTATATGTGTATTTACTGGCCCAATTAGTTCTATATAATTTATTGAACGCGATAAAAAAAAAAATATAGGTTATAACTATGTACTCGATAAAAATACTTGTAAGTTTGACAAACCGGTTTATAACTTAATAATAATAACCCTGGACAGTTCACACAACGCCGTCGAGTAGCAACCAAGGCAGAGCT